AATTACAATGGGAAACGAAAATAATTAGTTGAGATCTTTGATAGAAGCTTACAGATTTGCAATGAAAAAAACAAAACAGAAGAAAAGAAAGATATATTAGGTTTCTTACCGCACTTCTTTGGCCATGCCTGGTCCTGTAAAGAACCCAAAATAACATCAGTAACAGGTTATGAGCTTGCTCATGGTTGTAATTCATAATCTTGTAAAGACTCCGGTGCAGCTAAAACTAGCTTGAGAATGAAATAACCGATTTCACCAGAAGGTGCTTATCAAATCTCGAGAGGGGTAAATACACCATAGAAAGATGCGATTTTTATGAAACTAGATTCTGATAGTTGAAAATTCTGAAACAGAAGTTCTACAATGGCCAAAACCAGATGCGATTTTTATGATCAATCTGGTATAAAACACTTCTATTTACCCGAACAGATGACGAGGAGATGATGAACAACAATGTCGAAAAGGGAAAAAAGTTACCTCAAGGAAGCAACCAGCAGCACCTGCTGCAATCAATTCCTTTATGGTTCTTTGAACGTTAAGGGCATTGCCACCACCCGTATCTGATCACAACAAAAAAAGAATTTTGATTACTGGGTTAATCTTTGATTCATATATCCATCAAGAGATTGATTTCACGTTCCAATAAACAGCGGAATTTTCTATCAATAGCATAAGCTATGAGATGAAACGCATTGCCTCTGAGCAAATGCTTGAGCAACAGAAGCAAGAAAGGTCAAAACTTCCATCTCAGCTACCAAGGAAGAAGCCATTCCAAGAATCGGAGATCATAAGAGGATAAAATCCCGATCAATTCTCATACCTTTTCAATGTTTCTTGAGCACATACAGTGTGTAAGCAAACCAGTAACTCGGTTCGTAATCAGAAATCACCATTGTAATGACCCAAGGACACTCAAAGTTAAAACTTACCGGCATCCGCGATGATGGGTATCTTCGGAGCCGACGCACAAACCGATCTTGCCGTCGCCGCCATCTCCGGCGGTCTGAAACGACAAAGGGAAACAAATGAAACGACAAAAGAGGCATTACGAGAGGGGAAACGAAGACAAACAGTGAAATTCCAGGCGCACGTGAGCAAACCGAAGTCGGGTTTTCCGAGGAGAGAGGCGGAGACGGCGTATCCAGAGATGAATCCGGCGGAGAATCCGGTCTGCTGCACAATAGCCGCCGATAAGGCGTCGTAGCATCCGGGCATGAGAACGATACCCTGATCTTCGATCAGGCGATGGAAACGTGTCTGCATTCTCGCCGTCGGATTGACCGATCTGAAGGCACGTGGGTTTGATCGGATTCTGGATGATATCGTCGGGTTGGTGCTGCAGAGTGAAGTTGCCTTGGCCATCGTTATCATCGCCATTTTTAGAATCTTGAGCGTCTTTGGAGACGGAAGAAACAGAGAAAAAAAAATTTATATGGGTTTCGTTACGTAGGAAAAACACGCGCTGTGGAGAGCGCGTGGTCATTGGGAGGCTTATCTCTTTTCTTATCCCTTTCCTCAAGAACAATGTTCGGTATGCTG